GAGAGAGAGAGAAGAGAGAGAAAACCCAGCTTCCATTTTTCATTTGTTTCTGTATCACATGGGATACATTTGGTTTGCTTGGGCTACAGTGGGCCAGGCTGGTCAACTTCACAAGACCTGACCTTGTCTCAAAACACAAAAAAGGAGGCCAGGGAAGGAATTCAATTGGTAGAGTGCCTAGCATGAATGAACCCTGGGTTCAAGTATCATTACTGCATAATCCAGATGTATTGGCACACATCTGAATCTCAGCACTCAGGAGGTGAAGACAAGGGAATTAGAAGTCCATGGGACTGGAGCTCAGAGATTCAGAGTGCTTTCTGCTCTTGCAGAGGACCTGGGTTCAGTTCCCAGAACCTACATGGTGGCTCACAACCACCTATAACTTCAGTTCCAGGGGATCTAATGCCTTCTCCTGGCCTCCATGGGCCCTTGCACACATGTAGTGCACATATACTCACACAGGCTGACATACATACACATAAATAAAAATCATAAGTCTAAAAAAATAAGATTACAAAGTTCAAAGTTATCTTTGGTTACATAGCAAGTTCAGGGCTACCTTGGCATACAAGATCCTGTTTACAAAAAAATAGGAGAAAATAAATGATCTGGTAATAGAGCTCAGTAGCAAAACCCTTGGTTCAGTCCCCAGTACCTTATACATCAGCACCTATGCATATTCACACTAAGCAGATCAAATAAAGGTTATACATAACCTCATTATTTCATTTCAAGCTTGTCATTATCAAATGATTTTTGCAAAAAAATAGGTTTTCAGAACTCTGAGGATTTTGGAATTTCAAATGAGGGATTATGGATCTTTACTATATATAGCCTGTCAAAGAGGCCTTCCTCAGAGTGATTTGTGCTGATGAAGCAGTGGAGAAGAGCGCCTTGAATTTGTTTCTTATGTTCAAAAGTTGAAATAAAGAGAGGGCTGGAGAGATGGCTCAACTGTTAAGAGCACCGGTTGTTCCTGAAGACCTTGGTTCAGTCCCAGGGTGCGACATGGGTGTGCTTACATCCACATGGTAACTAACAGCCATCTGAAACTCCAGTTCCAAGGGATCCAATGCCCTCTTCTGGCCTCTGTGGGCAGCAGGCACCCATGTGGTACATTTACATACATGCAGGCAAAACCCTTATACACATAAAATAATTTTAAAAAATTAATTTTAAATGTTAAAATAGTTTTTTGCCCCAATTACATGAAGCAAGTATCACTTTTTGAACAGATCAGCTAATAGACAATTATGCTGGATAGCTTTAGTGTCAATTTGACACACCTGGGTTGAGGGAGCCTCAATTGGGGAATGGCCTCCATTGGACTGGCCTGAGGCCATGTCTGTGGGGAATTTGCTTTATTGTTGAGTGGTATGGGAGGGCCCAGCCCACAGTGAGTGGTGCCACTGCTGGGTGGGTGGCCCTGTGTTGTATAAGAAAGTAAGCAGCATTCCTCCTTGGCCTGTGCTCCAGCTTCTGCCTCCAGGTTCTTGCCCTGAGTTCCTACCTTGGGCTCCCTGATGAACTATGACCTGGTAAGATAAATAAACCGTTTCCTCCCCGAGTTGGTAGTACTCATGGTGTTTTGTCACAGCAATGAAGAGACAAACTAGGACAGAAATATAAAGAAGAGAATAATGATTACATGTAACCTTAGCATTCAGAGTTATCAGCTGAGACAGGGCATACGCCTATAATCCCAACACTCAGGAGACTCAGGCAGGAGGGGTATAGGCCAGTCCCGGCTACATAGCAAAGCTTTGGTTGAATAAACAAGCAACAACAAAAATTCCCAGAATGATCCACTGTTAGTATCCTAGGTTTTCTTTTATGCATGTGAACACATATTGGAAAAATAAATTATTTTAAAGTGGGGTCAATTTGCCTAGATTTGAATTCTCTCCAACTTACTAGGCATGTGACCTTGGGGAAATTAACCACTTTGTGTCTGAGTTTCTTTATTCAGATATTGGGGATGATAACAGTGCCAACCTGGTAGGGTTTGCAAGAATTAAGTGATTTAATTACATTTAAAGCACTTGGAACAGTAGCTGGAGTGTAATGCCTGTTAGCTTAGTTGTTACTGTTTTATCACTTGGTACTTTCAGTTTTCACTTAATAAAGTTTCAACGCAGTTCTGAGATAATAAAAGTAAAGGAACATGTACTTTTATGTATGTGTATTGGGGGACACTTGTACATGTGGGGTTATGCTTGTGGAGGCCAGAAGTTGACATCAAATGTTTTCCTTAATCACTCTCCACCTTATGTTTTGAGACAATCTCTCACTGAACCTGGAGCTCCAAGTCTTCAGAGAGCCTCCTCTGTCTACCTGTCCAGCACTGGGATTACAGGTGTATGCTGCCTCACCTGGCTTTCACTTGGATGCTAGAGTTCTAAACTTGGGTCCTCATGCTTACACAGCAAGCACTTTACCAACTAAGCCATCTCTGTAGCCTGAGAAACACAGTTAAAATAAATTTGGGGGGGGGTGCTTATTTTTTATGTGTATGAGTGTTTGCCTGCATGTTTATGTGTACCCATGCATGCAATGCCCACAGAGGCCAAAAGAGGGTGTCAGATCCCCTGGAGCCAGAGTTAGTTTGTTAGCTGCCATATGGGTGCTGGGAACCTATGCAAAAGCAGCCAGTGCTCTTAACCACTGCATTATCTCGCCATCCCAGAACATAATTATTTCACAACAACGTTCTGCTGTATCTATAAAAGTTGAATTTTCAGGGCTGGAGAGATGGCTCACAGTTAAGAGCACTGACTGCTCTTGGAGAGGACCCGGGTTTAATTCCCAGCACCCACATGGAGGCTAACAACTGTCCATAACTCCAGTTCCAGGGGATCCAGCGCCACCTTTTGACCTTTGTGGGCATTGCACGACAATGCAGGCAATACACTCACATAAAATAAAAAATTAAATAAAATATTTTTAAAAATAAAGGAAAATCTTTTTTAATGAAAGGTTGCATTTTCATGTGATAATGGGCATATAAATAAAAAGAGGCGCTGACAAGATGACTCAGCAGGTAAAGGTGCTTGCCTCCTCATGTGCATCATAAACCCATCATGAGCTAAAAGCACACTTAATATACCTAACCTACCAAATACCATGACACAGCCACACAGAATGGTGTAGAGTATCAATTGTGTATCCTTGTGACCATGTGTGCACCCTACACACAAATAAAAGTTAAAGAAAATAATTTAAAGGTAAAAAGATATGAATATTGTTCTTGTTCAAAATACTCAAAATAAGGGGCATCTTCTGGTGCCTGGGGAGTGCTTATTCTGAAGCAGCAAGCATGTAGGGCTTCCTAGAATTTTTGGACATGTTAGGTGGCGTGTAGGTGGCCGTGCTCAAAGCAGTCTGTTGTCAAGATTATGCCAGTCAAAATTGAAGTCGTGGGTGGATCTCTAAGCCAAACAGGTTCATGACTTGTCTCATGCGCTTTTTGAAAGCTTTTGCTGAACTGGGTTTCTTCAGAATTTCTCAGAATTATTGGAACATCCCAACCAAACCAATTAAAACAGGTCCTTCATTTTGATTCACTCCCAAGAACTGTTGTGTTTGGGGACAGCTCCGCACCTGCATCCAGGCAGAGTGTTCTCCCCTGGAAGTCACGGGGAGGGAGTCTCTTACATTCTGGCTAGTTGAGGCACATGTTGTGTAAAGTTGCATGGTGTTCTTTTATGCATATGTTATTTATTTTATTTCATATTTTATTTTATGTGAACGTGTGTATTGTCTGCATATAGGTAAGTGTACCTGTGTTGTGCAATGCCCGTGGAGGTCAGAAGAGGCTGTCAGATCCCCTGGGACTGGAGTTATGGACAGTTGTTAGCTGCCATGTGGGTGCTGGGATTCGAACCGGGTCTTCTGTAAGAACAACCAGTGTTCTTAACCGCTGTGCCATCTCCCCAGCCCCACAATTAATTTTTTATGGTGTTTATGACCCCTAGATATTGAGACAAATTACTTTGACTATGCTAACAGTGATACGTTGTTGTTGTTATTTCAAAGACAAAAAGCTCTCAAAATTTATGAGCCTGTGAGACATTTGTTACCTGAACTAGCTTCATACTTGTATGTAGCTGAGGCTGCCCTTGAACTCGGTTGTAACTGGGCTATGGCCCAATAAACCCATCATGAGTTGAAAGTACACATAATATACCTAGCCTACCAAATACTGTAACATAGCTACACAGAATGGTGTAGAGTATCAATTATGTATCCTTATGACCATGAGACTGACAGGGAGTGGAGGTTCCCTGCAGTACCCAACATTCTCAAGAAAGTATTGAACCATGTCTCACTAGCCTAGTAAAAGATCAGAATTCAAAGTATGATTTCCCCTGAATGTGGGTCACTGTAGCAGCATTGTAAAGTTGAACCAAGTTAAGTTGGGGACCATTTGTATTTAATAACTCTAGTAGCCTTTTGGGATAGGTACCTCTCTCTACTTTCTGGAAGGAGCTAAGTAACTGTCCTCTAATTCCTTTTTCTCTGTGCTGACTATAAATATGTATAAATCAGTGGTGAGTCTCTCTTGGACCTGCAAACCCAGTTTTCTCTCCCCTCCTCCTTGGGCTTGGTAGTGTTTGTTCCCATCTTGTCCTTACAGGGAACGGTGCTCCATGGCTGGCCTAACAATGTGTTGCTGTGAGCTCCTGAAGCCTCACTTGGTCTATTGCCTTCTAGGGTCCTACCCCTCCCCAAAAGCTGGAGCGACTCTGGTCGTGTACAAGGACTTGCTCGTGCTCTTTGGGGGTTGGACGAGGCCAAGCCCCTATCCCCTCCACCAGCCAGAGAGGTTCTTTGATGAAATTCACACCTATTCACCATCTAAAAACTGGTAAGCCACAAAGATTAGCTGCTTTGAATCTAGAAGAAATGGTTTGTTTTTTTTTTATTACATTTGTGTGTGTGTGTGTGTGTGTGTGTGTGTGTATGTGTGTATGCATGTGCATGCCACAATATGTGTGTGGAGGTAGAGGCAAATGCAGGAGTCGGTTTTCTCCTCCCACCATGTGGGTCCCAGGGATTAACCCAAGATTAGTTCTTTGCACCATGTTGGGCATCTCACAGCTCTAACCCTCTTTTCGACTGCATGGGCACCTGCACACACGGCATATACTTACACAAGACATACGCATACATGTACATATGAGTAAAAATAAATCGCCTTTAAAAAATTACTGAAAAACAAAGAGTCCCTGGCAAATTGGATGAAAAACTAAGCTGGGTGGAGGGCGCATGATGGGGCCTGCTTACAGTTCCAGATGTGTAACAGGATGCCCTTAGGCAGCTAGAACCTCTTCTCCAGGGAGGAAAGTAGAAGAGATCTATTTCTCATCTAAGAAAAAAGAGCATGCCAGTTGATGGAGTCTTCAGCTTTGGCATCACCTTTCCCAGGAGCAGTGTGGCTCCAGACGGTTCCTCTCACTCCACATGTTCTGAGATGGACTCCTTTATTGTTCAGACGCGTCTGTCTTAGCGGCAGTTCTGCTCCTTGCAGAGTTGCCTGTGTTGATGCAAAAACTCAACTTTCATCTCAAAGGGGATAAGGAATAGTTTATTCTGGAGCCAAATATGAGTGCCCATGGCTCGGGAACACAGATTCAAGTTATTCCTAATTCTGTGTTCTAACTTGGTAACAGTTTCATGAAGTTTTTATAGTAACAGAACAAAACTGTAAATCAAGACACTTTTCAAATACATTGGTGGAGACATTAGAGAGGCAGGTTATAGCAAGACAGGGAGAATTCCACTGTAGGCCTCAGTCAGACCCTTGGGTTAGTGAAAGCTGGTGGTCTGCTAAAGTAATACATTCCAAAAGGTTTTTTTATCTGTTAAGTCACTGGATGTTAAGTCAGAAACAGAGGTGGGCTAGGAACGATTATTTACATGCTAAAGATGGCCCAAGATAAATGGTAATTAGGTTTTGGACCTACAACATTCCAAACTCTCCACAGTCACTCAAGTTCTAGTCAGTTGATAAGCCTTGCAGAAGGTTTGGTTTCAAGATGCTGTTTTTTTCTGGGAACTTCCATTTACACCGGGTACATGGTTCTTGGCAGCTTGCAAGTGGTTGTAACACGGGAAGCTTGTGGTTGAAAAGCTGTATGTGTCCTGTGCTGTGCTCCCTTTACTGTCCTGTTACTGCCTCTGCTAGGAAAGTGACAGGGCTGGCATTTTCAGTGAATACTTGAATTACAGTTTTGAGACGTAAGCCTATGAGATCTGGAACAAGTGGCGCTGACTTCTTGGCTTCCTTTTGTCTGTCACATTAGGTGGAATTGCATCGTAACCACCCATGGACCACCTCCCATGGCTGGCCACTCCTCCTGTGTGATAGAGGATAAAATGATTGTCTTTGGTGGCTCTTTAGGGTCTCGGCAAATGTAAGTATATTTGCTTTGCTTCACTTCATGTTAATGTGAAGGTAACTGGTCTTAGCAGACCAGAACAGTGAATTAGTCAAAGTTGGTGTTCCTGAGCATGGTCCTCATTAATCCAGTTAGTTATTTCACCCCAGCATTCAGTTGTTTGGTCCCTTAGAAAACTTGCTCTATAATTTCTGTTTGTGCATAGGAGCATGTTCTTTTTTTTTTTAATTTACTATTTTTATTTTATATGTATGCATGTATTTCCTGCATGTAGGTAAGTGCAACCGTGTTGCATAATGCCCGAGGAGGTCAGAAGAGGCTGTTGGATCCCCTGGGACTGGAGTTATGGACAGTTGTTAGCTGCCATGTGGGTGCTGGGATTTGAACCTGGGTCTTCTGCAAGAAACCAGTGTTCTTAACTGCTGAGCCATCTCTCCAGCCCCTCACATTCTTTTTTAAAATATTTTAAAAATTATTTTATGTATGAGTGTATTGCCTGCATGTGTGTAAGTGCACCTGTGTTGTGCAATGCCTGTGTAGGTCAGAGGAGGGCGTCAGAGCCCCTGGAACTGGAGTTACAGACAGTTGTTAGTTGCCATGTGACTGAACCTGGGTCCTCTGCAAGAACAGCCAGTGAGTGCTCTTAACCACTGAGCCATCTCTCCAGCCCCGAGGATCATATTTTTGTGAACCTTCCATATTGTCTACTGTCTTGGGCCTATGGAAAGTCACATTTCAAGAAGCAGGGTGCTTCTGTATCACTAGCCACTGCTGGCTGTGGCAGGAGCCGTGGAGTGCTCATTTTTCCCATGCTTTGAAATGGCAGTTGATGAGCTGTCAACAAGACAATCATTGCAGACCTAAGCATGCCTTCTGACAAGGCTCACCAGCTTCACATTTTAAAATCATTATGGAGGGGCTGGAGAGATGGCTCAGCAGTTAAGAACACTGGTTGTTCTTGCAGAAGACCAGGGTTCGATTCCCAGCACTCACATGGCAGCTAACAACTGTCCATAACTCCAATCCCAGGGGATCCAACAATCTCTTCTGACCTCCATGGGCATTGCACGACATGGGTGCACTTACCTACATGCAGGCAATACACGCATACACATAAAATAAAAATAATAAATAAAAATGAAATCATTATGGAGAATCAGGAGTTCAGGGTCATCCTCAGCTAGATTGCAAGTTTGAGGCCAGCCTGGGGTTCATAAGAATCTGTTCTCAATGAAGAAACAAACAAAAATAGTAAATAAATAAAATAGTTATGGAGAAAGATAAAAGGAACTAAGGAACTCTTCTCCAGATGAGAGGACTTCGGGTTTAAGTTTCGGAGCCCTTATTTTCTATCGTTTTCTCTGAACAGAGGATCTTAGAGAGGTGTCTGTGAGCTGGAGGCTGCCAACCAGGCCTGTATCTCTCCTCATTGCTTTTTGTTGTTTTAGTTTTTGAGACAGTCTTGCTTTGTAGCTCTCTCTGGCCCTGAACTCATGCAATTCTCCTGCCTCAGCTCCTGAGTGCTGGGGTTACAGTGCATGTGGACACCATGCCAAGGTCATACTGAGAAGGTTGGATCCATCTGCAGCTTTCCTGAGCCATTGTGAAATTACTCTTTGTAGTCAGAATCAATAAAGATTTTTTTTTTTAGCTCCTACACAATGACAGAGATACCTTTAGAATCTTTTATTTTCTCTCCCTTGTGGCTTTTGTTTTTGAAAGATGGTAATTTGACCAGTAGCTGTTTCCTTCTGTCACTGATAAACTTCTATTTTGGGTCTCAGTGTGTCTGCAGACATGACTCATGAGACCTTATGATCTTAAGACAGATTTAAGTGCTGTGAGCATAGCACTTTGCCTAGGAGTCTTTATAAATGAACTTGCATCTGTATCAGTTCTCAAAAGGAGCAGTATTTCTGCTCACGGGAAAGGATACCAAAAGTAGAAAAAATACTTTCTTGTTTAGTCTGCAGAAATGGGATTCAGTTTTGGTCTTTTTTATTCTGAAGCCCCTGAACTCGAGGAGACCATCTCCGAAGCTCCTCCAGTCCAGACAGCCTGTGTGTATGAAAACGGTGTAAGTTTCCAGGCTGGGCACAGACAAATGAAACTCCCCAGCCACCTATGTGGTCCCTGGAGCTCCCAACTTCTTCATTATTTTGTCCTTACCTCACAGGAGCAACGATGTTTGGGTCCTTGACCTGGAGCAGTGGGCGTGGTCCAAGCCTAACATCTCAGGCCCCAGTCCTCATCCCCGAGGTGGCCAGTCTCAGGTGCTTAAGAATTTAAGTATTAAGTAAATACAGTACCATCTTTCAGTTAGAACGGGAGGGGGAGGAGGGAGCCAGGTAAGAAGCTACTGTGTGCTAAGCCAAAGAGAATTTATTTTCCCACCTCCCTGCTTTTATTAGTTTTCAGCTTCTAATGGGCTGTATTATTTATACTTGCTTTAGATGATGCCTCTCCCCAAAGCATTTACTTTGCTATTTCATTTCTTAAGCGAAGTCTACATTTTATGTGGTTGATACCCTCATGTTGATATTTGTTTAAGTTAGAATGTGTCTGTTTAGGTGAATCATCAGTAATTTGTTCAAAGGGAGAGAATTGACATGGTTTGGGGAGAACTGGGTAATTAACATACTCAATGTCACTGAAGCATGGGGAGTCAGATGCCTGTGTCTTTGTAGTTTATTTGAAATTTCTTCCCCTCCCCAGATTGTTATAGATGATGCAACTATCTTAATCCTTGGAGGGTGTGGCGGTCCCAATGCTGTGAGTACGGCTTAGGTGACATTCTCCTCACACATGCTGAGTGCTTGTTCAGCAAGCACATACGAGAGGCTTCCTATGCATTTTCACTGTTAGAATGCCTTCTCCATGTTGGGTGCATAACTATCTTCATATGTTCTGGCCTTTTTCTCCATCTTTGTGGGGGGTGGGAGATAGTTTTAATCAGAAACGTTTGTCTCTTGAATATTTCTGAACTCTTCTATTCCTATTTTCTCTTTAAGCTATAAGGTTTTTTGTTTTGTTTTGTTTTGTTTTTGTCTTTTTGAGACAGGGTCTCCCTGTAGCCTCAGCTGTTCTGGAACTTACTATGTAGACCAGGCTGGCTTTGAACTCACAGAGATCTGCCTGTCTCTGCCTCCTGAGTGCTGGGAACAAAGGCGTGTACCACCACACCCGGCTACTTTTGCTTTTTTTTTTAAGGGAAAGGCAATGGGACAGAAAAACAGGCTGATAACTGTGTCCACGCGGTATTTGCTTAAGAATGCAGACTGAGAAAGTTATGAATTATATATTATTTCTCCTCTGCCCTGTACCCCACTATACACACATGCATGTGCACACACACAAGGAATCATAGGCCAAAAATAAATAAATAAAGCAGTTATAGTTGATGGGTCGCAAGAACAGTTCATGTACCAGGACAATCAGTGGCAAAAAATGAATGAATGAAGGCATGAATAATGAATGCAGACACAGCTGATGGAGTAACTGAGGACTGAGGCAAAGCCTCAACACTTTATACTAGTCAGCACAGCTTTGAGACAGCACTTCTGATGCATACAATAAAGATGGATGGATGGATGGATGGATGGATGGATGGATGGATGGATGGATGGATGGATGGATACAGAGTTTAAATATTTAAATAAATGTTTAGGTATTTAAAGCTTAGAGCCTGCCTGTGAGTTGTACACGTCCCCCGAGCTCTGATGTTGGTCCTTCTCTTCCAGCTGTTCAAGGATGCTTGGCTGCTGCGCATGCACTCAGGTTCATGGGCCTGGCAGCCACTCAAGGTAGAAAACGAAGACCATGGTGCACCAGAACTGTGGTGCCATCCAGCCTGCCGGGTAAGCGGAGAACTGGCTGGCCAGCAGGAGAGGGCCCAAACTGGAAAACCAAGTTAATTTGTCACACTTCAAGGGAGATTTGTATGGAAGTAGAAAGCAGCTTGGTGTCATGAAGTTTCTTTAGCATTTCCTGTGTAGATGAGCCGCTTGATGGGAAAATTTAGGGGGACCTGCTCATTCCTTTAAGCCCTAGCTCTAAGCATCCCTTTGTCTACACAGTGTCCCCCAGGGTCCCTCACACAAACTGAATCTTCCTTCCCCTCACCGCACTTCACAGCTAATGGCAGGACCTCACACTAGCAGCAGTTGTTCCTGTGTGTGTCTGTCTTTCTAGCCAACATAGCAACTGTTACTTTCATCTTCATGTCTCAAGCTTACAAAATGCCTGGCCCATTTCTGATGACTATGTTTGTAGTTGTGTGAATGATGGGAATTGTGGGCAAAGCTGTGAGCACAGGTCCTTTGTCTTCCAGGTGGGACAGTGTGTGGTGGTCTTCAGCCAGGCTCCTAGTGGGAGAGCGCCCCTCAGCCCCAGTTTGAACTCTCGCCCATCACCTATCAGTGCCACTCCTCCTGCCCTGGTTCCTGAAACCCGAGAGTACCGTTCCCAGTCTCCAGTGAGGAGCATGGACGAAGCGCCTTGTGTTAATGGCCGCTGGGGAACACTGAGGCCCAGGGCTCAAAGGCAGACTCCCTCAGGTTCCCGGGAAGGGAGCCTTTCCCCAGCCAGAGGAGATGGCTCTCCCATCCTCAATGGAGGGAGCTTGTCTCCAGGAACAGCAGCTGTTGGGGGTGCTTCCTTAGACAGCCCTATACAGGCTGTGTCTCCAAGCACTCCATCTGCCTCTGAAGGATATGACCTAAAACTGGGACTTTCTCTGGCCCCCCGACGAGGGTCTCTACCAGAACAGAAGGACCTGAGATTAGGGTCAGTAGATCTGAACTGGGACCTGAAAGCTGCTTCCAGTAGTGGTCATGTGGATAGCACAGACAACAGGACAGTTGGGGGGAGCATCAGACACCCTCCAGAACAGACCAATGGTGTTCACACCCCACCACATGTGGCCAGTGCCCTTGCAGGGGCTGTGTCCCCTGGTGCCCTGCGTCGGAGTCTGGAAGCCATTAAAGCGATATCGTCCAAAGGCTCCTCTGCCTCTGCAGCACTAAGTCCTCCTCTTGGGTCTTCTCCAAGTTCCCCTGGGAGTCAGAGCCTGAGCAGTGGAGAAACAGTGCCCATCCCTCGCCCAGGACCAGCCCAAGGAGATGGCCATTCCTTACCCCCGATTGCCCGGCGCCTGGGCCATCACCCTCCACAGTCACTCAATGTTGGCAAACCCCTGTACCAGAGTATGAACTGCAAGCCCATGCAGATGTATGTGCTAGACATTAAAGACACCAAGGAGAAGGGCCGGGTCAAATGGAAAGTGTTTAATAGTAGTTCTGTGGTTGGGCCTCCTGAAACCAGCCTGCACACGGTGGTACAAGGCAGAGGGGAGCTCATCGTATTTGGAGGACTCATGGACAAGAAGCAGAATGTGAAGTACTACCCAAAAACAAACGCCTTGTACTTTGTTCGAGCAAAGAGATAATGTGTTCAAAACCCCTCCCTTTTCTGTGGCTTTTAATTTGGAATTTTCCAGTGTGTGAGCATTTGGATTGAGAATTGGGAAGTCAACAGCATTACTCCCACAAACCAAAACTCTGGTTCCAAGCCTGACTCACTCTAGGCTGGGATCAAATCTCCATTAAGA